GTAGTAGTAGTAGTAGTAGTAGAAGAAGAAGAAGAAGAAGAAGAAGAATTGTTATGACTCAAAATTTCAGTTTCTGGGAATCAAACAATCCAAGGTTGACTTCCCTCCCTCTTGGAAGCTGTCCTGTAATATCTGGTTGGCCCACTGCTAATAAGAGAGCAAGGATCTTTCATTAAAATTAGAGGGCCTTCCTTATGTTTTTATGTGGATATATTCCCTTATTATTTATTCCCTTTTTAAGATGATAGGATACTAATTGGAAATGAATTTGGAATTCAGTAGAATACTCTTTGCCATTTTTATAGTTATACTAAAACATTCAATACCTTGATACTTCTCTTACCATTCAATGGCTTTATCTCTGCTACTATTGTCTTTACAATCCGAATCAAGGAATATGTCCTTGTAAATCCTCCCACATAGGCAAAACATGTCTGGTGCAGGATGATCACACATCTGCAAGACCTGCAGCATCACTTGCAGTGCCTTCTCCCGGTCACCCATATTGTTCCTTCTAAAATGCAGACAAAAACTTGGTCTGACTAGATATATAGATATAGATACACATACATATGCATGTGTGCGTGCACACACACACACACACACACCACATAGTAGGACAAACCTTTTGTTCCTAGCAATATGCCATAATTATATTACACTGGAATTGTACTTTATATAGATTTTCCCAGATTGAGTCTTCTACAGTAAAACCAACAAGGATTCAATCCAAAGACCAGTACATTTATTATTATATTTGTAGATAACATTCCATTCCATCACATTTTTCTACTATTAATAGCTTATTGCATAATTAATTGTTGTATGCCACCCAGGGTCACTTGTGTGAGTTGGGCTGGTATATAAATAGCAATCAATCAATCAATCAATCAATCAATCAATGAATAGGCTTAAGGTGTCATCAGACTCTTTGTTTTTATATATAAAAATCAATTTACAATAACCTGTTCCTTCTAGCATTTCTCTGACTTACACATCCTCTAGAAATATAATTCAAAACTTATAGAAT